CCAACACCATAACTCAAAAGCATCAATTCTTCTATGGTCTTCCTTATTCACTGTACAGCTTTCACATGCATATGAGGTTACTGAAAATACCATGGCTTAGGTCTGGCGCACCTTAGTCTTCAAGTTGACATCTTTGCCTTCAACACTTTAAAAAGGTCTTGTGTAGCAGATTTGCCTAATGCAATAAATACATCATCTGATTTCTTGACTGCTGCTTCCATGAGTGTTGGCAGTTGATCCAAGAAGAATGAAGTCCTTGACAACTTCAATTTTTTCTCCATTGATAAGAACATTGTTTATTGATCCAGTAGTGAGGATTTTTGTTTTCTTTACATTGAGATGCAATCCATACAGAATGCTGTGCTTTTTGATCTTCATTAGTAAATATTTTAAGTCTTCTTCACTTTCAGCAAGTAAGGTTGTGTCATCCGCATATCACAGGTTGTTAATGAATCTTCCTCTAATCCTGATGCCATGTTTTTCTTCATATAACCCAGCTTCTTGGATTATTTGCTCAGCCTACGAATTGCATTAGCTAGACTTTAGAGAAGGAAGTCCCAAAAAGTTTAAGGAGCGCATAAAATAAAAAGGAAGTGTTGATGACTACAGTCACTGAAAGAAAATCTGGTTTAAGAAGAAAATCCACTGGAAAACAAATGGCAATATCCGAAAAAATGAGGAGTGGCACAGGTAGCTCAGGTTTAAAAGGTTACCAACCAAAACAGGAGAGGTGTAGATTACTAAGCAGGGCTACACAGAAGTGGGACAAAATCACAGCCCACATAGCTCTCTCCATTTTTTTACTCATCTCTGTCTATTCATATCCTTCTAGGTCCAGCTCACTTCCTGTTATGGTTTGAACTGTTAAAGACAAGGTCTTTTATCTTTTAAAAGATAAAGATAAGGTCAAATTCTAGTCACTGGTATCTGTGAACATGACCTTGCTTGGAAATAGGTTTTGTGAAGACAATCAAATAAGAATAATTAAGATAGCATGAGCTCATACTGGAGCAGGGTGGTCTCAATCCCATATAAGTGGTATCCTATAAAAGAGGAGACGAAACAGACACAGTGGGGAGATGACCACATTAAGACGGAGGTAGAGAGACTGAAGTAATGCATCTGTAAGCCAAGGAACGCCAAGTACTGCCAGTCATGACCCAAAGCAAGTCATGGAACAGATTCACCCTCAGAATTAGCATGGCCAACACTGATTCTGCACACCCTGCTTCTAAAATTTCAGTCCTTAGAAGCCACCCAGTTTGTGGTACTTGGCTAAAGCAGTCCTAGGCGTCCTGGTGTGGCGCCGTGGGTTAATATGCTAGACTACAAATTTCGTTTGAGCCACAAGGTTGGCAGTTCAAGCTCACCAGCTGCTCCTCAGAAACCCTATACAGGGTCACTATGGGTCAGAACCAACTCGCCAGCGCTTAACAAACTAATATGCCCCTTTTGCCAGGAAGCCTTCTATCTTGACTCACACTGGCTTCTTCTATTATGAATTCTGTATATTTTGCAATTACTCACAGAATTTTTTGCCTCCACAATTCAATGCTATGGCCTCCAAGGATGTAAAACAAATGTTAAATAAATATGTGCTGACTGAGTTACAGATGTTGACTAGAAATCTGTGCTTTTGGAGGTTGAGGAGATGAGGCTAGGTATCAAGAATTTGAGTATGCACTAAAGGTTATACCAATACCCAGTGCAATTCAAATCAATTGTGTAGCACAAAGAATCAATAGGCAGTCATCTGAAATTACAAAAATGGAACAATACCTGCAGGAGACTCTCTATAGCATGAAAACCTCGAATTAAATTCAGAGCCCCACATAAAAGGCTAAGGATAAATGCCACAATTCCGGACAGAGTTGCAGGTTCCAGTCGCTGATGAGCTAGAATATAAAAGGGTGAGAAGTGAACATCAGTATCTCATGCACCTAAACTTACAAGTTAAACACCTTTTTCTCTATATTTTTAACAAAGGCATCTAACTTGTACTTGGGATAAACAGTGATATGAAATGCCCACATTTGGAAGTAAGTCATGTAGAAAAAAACCTTACTGCCTAAATATGTCTACTATTTACAATTATGTACAAATATTTGCAAAGGTGACTTTCTCTGGAAATTCACTGCATAATTCCTACTTTTTTGAAAATGCTTACAAAGCATTTTTGAGGACAAATGTAACTTGCTTCTAAGCAACGCTTTCCTTATTTGGATTCCAGGACTATAAATGCTATTGAATACATGTGGAAGCTCATATATAATCACAAATCTTAACTCCCCGATAGAATATTAAAGCTAAGACGTTATTGGTCCTCTGAAGACCATTAAAGATAAAAATGATAAAACACCACTGAAGAAATGATCATATGATTTTTACAAACACAATCGCTTATTTTTAAAGGCTTCAGTAGCATAAGATTCAGTTACACAATAGCTTTCCTTCACCATCATCTTGTTCCTAATAGAATTAACAGTGGAGTCTAAATGAAAACACAAGACTAAATACATAATCATCTAGATGGCAAAAGGGAGAGACTGGGGAAGAGAGGACAACAAATCACATTTAGTTCATTTTATTTAAATCACTGAAGTGTAAAAGCTCTAACAATGAAGTTAATGAGGTGGAACATTAATATAAGAAAAGGGCTTAAATCTTCACTACTTATATTAAACCATTATAGCAAAAAAACTTCCCTAAATAGTTCCTAAAGAGACAAAAACCTACATATCACACACAAAAAGTTATTTATTTCTTAAGTTCAACAAAAAATGTTAATATGGAATAACATTTCCTTAAGTTTTTTCTGTGTCGAACTTCATTGGTCTGTCAATCAAATCCCTTGAGATTTTACTACGAAAATGGAAAATTAAATGTCATTATAAAGTACTTATACCAATCAGTAAAGGAGCTTTGGTAGCGTAGTGGTTATGAATCCAGCTGCTAACCTCAGGGTCAGCAGTAGGACACTACCAGCTGTTCCACGGGAGAAAGATGAGGCTTTCTGCTCCCATAAAGATTTACAGCCTCTGAAACCCTGCACAGAGTCGCTATGAGTCAGAACCAAATCCACAGCACATTACTACCACCACCACCATATCAATCAGTAGAGAACAAATCTCACAATTTAAAAATCTACTCAATTAGTCTATCAATTAGTCATGTCTTTCATTTTCTCTCAATAGTGAGCAAGTGACAACTGGCTTCTAACAAAAACAACAACAAAAATATGGGACTCAAGCAGAAAGACACCTGAAGAACAAGGCTATATAAATCACACTTCAGAAGTATAAAACAAGTTTATGGTTTTAAAAAAATCTCAAATAAAATTTGGCATTGTAACTGGAAAAAAAAAAAAAAACCTTAGTTTTTTATGGTCAAGTAAAGTATGGCCATTTGTTATATGGAAAAAATGGCCATACTAATGTATTAATGAATATCTATTTAAGAAATGAATAATAAGACTATATAAATGAAATATTAAGTTTGTAACATTTACTTGCTTTTGGCCTTAGAGCAAACTCTTGAAAATAATAATCTACTATTTATAAATTAATTCAAAATGACTATAAAAATATTTTCAAAGGCATCAAAGAAGATGAGAAGCCTACAGATGAGATTCACGTTGTGTGTGGAAAGAGGGCTGGAACTAAGCCAAATCACTGTGGGAAAGGCATTCTAGAGTGGAGATCCCCCTTCGCCTATTCTTACCCTTGCCAGGGCCTGCGGCTTGTATTCTGATAATGATTATCAAAAGAAAACTCCATCTGTACACAACATAAGAGGGTGGTACTCCTTAGGGACAATGTAACAAACTGTACTAGACATTTACACACATTTCGGTGTATTATGTTATATATGCACTTTTATTTCAGCAAAAATATTTTAGATGCACTGTCCACAAATGCTTATTGCACACTTGAATTTGGCACCATGCTAGGCACTATGAAGTGTGGCATGCATCTGAAACAATAACAAATAGAAAAATAGAAAAAAATTTTGCTGAACTCAAGGCCATGCCACCGAGTCCATTTTTCCCCCTTAATTATCTTTTGCTATAACTATTTTTCTTTAGTCTCCCTTAACTCAATAATGGCATCTTCATAACATTAAATGTAGCAATGATTTATGGAGATTGCAAAAGTTCTACATACAGAAGTCAGAGTAAATCCCTTGGAACCAAAGAGCTACTGATTATAGTGAGTTAACAAATCCATTTGGTAAATACTTTTTGGTACAATTCTGGGTAACAAACTATGCTTTAGGAGATACAAGAAATTGAATTACACAACCTGCCCTTGAGGCATTTCTATTCTTTTAAAGGGAGATGGGCAGATAAACATATGAAATAAGCCCTCTAAAAGAGTTAGCAGAATGAAGGAGGTAAAAGAACTAGGGGAGATCTTTAAAAGGGATAAAATTGGCACCATAGAATGGTCAACCATTTGAGATCAAAAGGGCACCATTTACCCAAGGACAAAGTTCAGAAGGGTTTGGGAAAGGAGGAGGAATGGAAACAAGAAACACATGGAGGAAGTGGGATAAAGGATTGGGGGGAAAAAATGTGGCACCAACCATCCCTACCCACAGCACTTTCTACTCCTCCTCTGGGTTGGATAATTCATTGCAACGGGCACATATAACTCCGACACCATACTCACAGTAATGAGGTTTATTAGGGTAGTTAACAGGTTACAGTGCAGGGTCAGAAAATGGTCAGGGTACAGTTCTTCCAGTCAGGACATCCTCTCCTCAGTTGTAAGACTCTGTGTAGCCATGCAGTGGTAGAAAGCTCTTTTAGGGTGACTGATAAATGCTCACAGGGCATACCACTCCACTATAAGCCTCAGTCTGAAGGTACTCAGCTCTAGCTTCCATGGCTCAGGAAACGTGGACCTCAACTTAATGCCTGGAGGCACCCTACACTTAAAGCAAGCTTCCTGCCTGCCCAAAGTCACTCTGCTTAACTTGCTTTTCAGGCTGGTAAGCCCACTGCTCAGTCATGCTCAGGTTCTTTGTCCTGCCTCTATTGCTCCTCTGCTACTCCTCCAGAATCACAGCTTTCTGTTCCTGGGTCAAGAACAGGGATCTCAGAGTCCAAAGGTCACGCTTCACTCTTGGCTCTTCTTTGATGGTAGTGAAATTTCCCCCTCTTGCATCTGACATGGCTCATTTTAAACTTATGTCAGAGTTCCACGTTTTTACAATCATAATGAACTCTGTTAACAATCACAACTGAATCATATTATTGTATCAGCATCTTCTTCCACTTTTTTTTAATCAGACCCATCAGGAAAAAGTTGTTTGGTGGAAGTTCCTACTATGGGTAGAAGAGCCATATGAAATAATCCAGTGTATTGCAGTCATGTTACATTGAGGGGACTGAAATGGATGAGATGAAACGAAATGTGTACGATTTATTAAATGTAAAACATAATCTGCTCTGTAAATCTTTACCCAATTCACAACAAAAAGTCAAAAACAAAATTAAAAGGATACAAAATATGTTGTTGTTGTTGTTAGCTGTAAAATAGATGCCCCTCCTCCCCACTCTATAGCAACGCTGTACAACCGGATCATATTGCTTCGATTTAGACAGCATTAAGTGGAAAGAGCTGCACTTCATGCAGAGAAGAACATGAGCAGGAGATAAAAACAGGACAGGCAAATAATAACAAGCATGAACTAATACCTCTACTCCTCCTCCTAACAGTAACTGCGCTCATGTCAAGTGATTTTATACAACCCAATTTCATCCCTCTAATTTTCCTAGTGTTATATTAGAAGGATGGACTACTGTTAATGCTCCAGAATGCAAAGTCATTTGAACTGCAAAGTTAGTGGTTCAGGCTGACCAGTTGCTCCTTGGAAACCCTATACAGGGTCACTATTGGTCGGAACCGACTCGACAGCACTTAACAACACAACAATATTTTTAGTGTGGTGCTGTGGGTTCATGCACTGGATTGCATAGTCAGTTTGAACTGTAAGGTCGGTGGTTCAAGCTCACCAGCCATTTCTTGGAAACCCCCATACAGGGTCATTATGGGTTGGAACCTACTGGACAGCTCTTCACAACAACAATCAAATTCAGTAGGCATTATCATTATGCTGGCTTTTCAAACAAGGAAACCAACATTTAGAAAAATTAAGTAAATTGCTCAAGGTCACAAAGTAAGTAAATGAACTGGGATTTATATCAAGGTAGCCTGACTCTCATGAGTCCTGGTGTGTCATTGCTGGATAATATGCTGAACAAAAGGTTAGCTTGAACCACAAAGTCAGTGGTTCAAACCCACCAGCTACTCCTCGGAAACCCTATATAGGGCTGCTATGGGTTGGAACCAACTCGAAGGCACTTAACAACAACAGCCTGACTCTCAAATGCATACTTAATAACCACGCTGCTGTTGGGCATGTTAGTTGTGCTGTTTGGCTCAAAGGTATGTTTGTGAAGTATAGAAAAAGGAAATGAGATAAAAAAGGGATGCCAAAGTAAACTAATAAACAGTCCAAAATTCTAAGAACTTTAAGCAAATTAGACAATGTAGAAACACTGAAAACCAAGAGACTGACATGATGAAATACCTACATTTTAGAAAATATTAATCCATGGCTAGGTTGCTGTTCGGTGCCATTGCTTCTGACTCACAGTAGCTTCATGTAACTAAGCAGAACTGCCCCAGAGCACTGTCTAAGCTGTAATCTTTATGGAGGCAGGACGCCAGGTCTTTCTCCCATGGAGTTGCTAAATAGGTTCTAACTTTAGCCTTTTGGTTACCAGCCAAGCACCCAACTATTGCACCACCAGGGCAGTGGAAAAATTAAAAATAGGGAGAGAAAAATAATATTTTCTGAGTGCCTTTTCCTTGGGCACACTGTCCCA